TATAAAAATATGATTTCCGCTGGTTTTTTAGGGCAGCACAATATTATATTGCAAGAAACAAGGACCATTATTTTTTTTATATTTAATACTAGCGACTCACCCTCGCTTCGCTAAATTTCGCCCCCAGGTTAATTCCCCATACAAACTTTCATCCCCATTTTCACCCCCTTAGGGAATGATTTCCGGAATAAAAAGTATCCTATGTCCTTCCCAGGGTCTCAAACTATCTTCTTACCAAATTTTATGTAAATTGGTCCAGTAGTTTTTGAGTTTATTGTATATATGTATAAATGTATGTATATATGTATGTATATATGTATGTATGTATGTATAAGTGATTATTATTACCTTTATTTCTAGTATATATTTAGTAAATTTTTTGGCACTATATTGCCCGCTGACATCTTCTTCCACAACCAGGGGATGACTGGAAGAGATCTCTTTTAGAGATAAGTTCACCTTTGTGAACTATGTTTACTTTGTTATTTTTTTTTCTGTATCATATTTTAAGTGCAATAAAGAATATAATACAAACATACAAAAACACAAATCGTTCCTCTTTATAATAGTAGATGTAGATAAAAAGTAACAGCCTTGTTTAATGTTTTCAGACATTGTCTAGACCTAGATTGGTCGGACTTTAAAAAAAATGGACCTGAACAAGAACACCACATAACAGAACCCGTTAGGTTAGGCATGATTTTTTGTGCGGAGATAGTTGGAGGGCTGGAGAGTGACATAGGCTACTTTTTACCGCGGGATATTATCTAATTCCCACGGGGAAACACGTTATAATACAATCCAAAAAAAAACAGAAATATTTGAAACTTGGTATTAGATCTCTTCAATAAAATTAAATAAATACGTGTTTTAGCATTTTTTCGAAATTAACCCTGTAAGGAGGTTAAATGGGGGATGGAAATTTGTATGAAACTACCTTTTTAGAGATTTTTCGCAATTTTAGCGCGAGCGAAGCCACGGGTTCTGCTAGTACAACTATAATTTAGACCTAACTTAATAAGGAATATGCCAATTTTTTTTAATAGTTTTAATACAATAGTTAACATTATTGCACTTTTTAATAATTATTTTCTTAATTTAAATCACATTCATATTCCCTTCTAGCGACTCACCTCGCTTTACTCGGTTTGTTCCCCATGCAAACTTTCATCCCCATTTTCACCCCCTTAAGAGATAATTTCTAGGATAAAAAGTATCCTATGTCCTTCCCAAGGTCTCAAACTATCTTCTTACCAAATTTCATCTAAATTGGTTCGGTAGATCCAGAGATTACCTCCTACCTCACAAATTCACAAACTTTACCTCTTTATAATACTAGTATAGATTAGATTAACCTTGCTGTATACAAATTATTATGAATTAATTATGATAATAGTTTGTATGTAATTTCTGAAGAATACAAAAAGTATGGATTGTAGGTTAAAAAAATAAATTAGTTGATTTTTATTGAATTCGTTTTTGAAATTATACTGTGGTACATGACAGGGATGAATAAAAATAAAGATTTAAATAAAATGTGTGAACATTAATTTTAAAATGAAATAAGCCATACAATAATTTTACATAATATTCTTAAAGACAAAGTAATTTTACATATATATAAAAAAAAAACTTACCCTATATTGTTTTGATATTTATTACAATGAATAGCTTTAGTCATAAATTTATTTTATTTAAAAAGAATCATCAAGAATATTAAGTTAAATTTAAATTTCTTGAGCACAAAAAGTGAGCACTCGCTAAAGCCACTTGAATAATTATGAAGCAAATTCTATTTAAATTTATGTACTTTTAAAACTTGGGTTATCAGAATAGTATATTTTTTCTACTTATTTTTGTTTTATGCAAAATACATAAAACTTTATACTTTATGTAAGTATATAATATTTTTCATTTTGTACAAAAAGTAATATTATTTATTAACTATCTATATTTTATGATAATATTCAATATCTAATATGAAAAAATATATTAAATAAGAAAAAATACATGTTTTTTAAAAGACAGACATTAAAAAAAATATTGTAACTTAATAATTACTTACATTTTAAAATATGCACGAGTGGTAATATGTATAATATGGGTAAAAATTCCACTATTACATTTAAAAAAGTAGATTAGACAGTGACTGCAGACTGGGTAGCTTTAATCTTAGTCTACACATTTCTTTTAGCGTCAAGACTTTAGAAGGCTCATAAATTAAAGAAAATACGGGTCGCTTCCAAAAAATAAGCAAATCAGAACATATAATACAATTCTAACCGAGTTGAATCTGTACATTATTTAATTTTTGGAAAATCTTATTGGAATTGTCATTATTATTTATACAGAGGCCGAATTTATAGTTTTAAAAATATTTGTCAGTCTGTCTGAACGCATCACGAGAACATCACTAGACAGACTTTGATAAAATTTGGTATGATGATAGCTGGTTATTCGGGTCAACTTACAGAATACATATTATTATATTTTACTGCTGGAAAATATCTCGTTTCTGAGAAATCTATACTAACCGTTAAAACGTAACTACAATTGAATAAATATATTATTGCTACTCACCGTTAAAATATACGCAAATTTGTTAGTAAGTTAAACTTGTTCTAATGTGCTATGATTAATGCTATCATTGTATGTAAATCATACCTATTTATTAAGCAAAATTAATTAAATATTTTCACGCATCCTTAATTCAATATTTCTTGTCAGTTGTCAGTTGTCACTTTTGCTACCATGACTGACATTCTGACAACTGACAGGGTTGCCAGTTGTTGTTTTATTTACTACTTAATATTTACCCGACCAATAAACCTCAAAATATCCGGTTAATCCCGCTGGCGGCCGGCGCCAACCATGAGCAGTATACCCAAAAATAGTTTTTTTTTTAAATAAATTATTCATATTTTACATAGTATAAAAGAAAAACTAATGTTAGAAAAAGAAGTCATCGTAATCAGTTCTCAATTAAACAGCTTTAAATGATTAAATCAAACATTAAAAAAAAAAAAAAAACTTTTAATATCAAATTTATCAGCTAAATCAAGCTAAACTAAAATAAAATACGTTTTTTTTTTATCGTTGGGAAATGCATTTACGCACGAAGTGTGGGACTCACCGGCGAAGCCAGTACTACCCACTAAAACCCAACAAAACCTTCCCCCGTCTTAATGGGGCGTCGCAGGATCGCTTACGCATTCAACTACGACGCCCCGACGGCAGGTCTGCCGAAGCAGACCACAACAACCATGGGGTTGCTCCACGGTCCACTCTGCTATCAGAGAAGTACCAGGAGCAACCCGCATGGTACACCACCCTCCGAAGAAGGCCGCCTCCCACCGCCCACCGAAGCGGGCCACCTCCCTGTGCGTTTCTTGGCTTCGCGAGTACACTACTGAGCCCCCCACCACGACAAGGTGAACGCACGTTGGGGGGGAAAATAAAATACCTGCTTTGACCCCGTTCAATGTAAATACCCGTCAAAATTACCCGCCATCAAAAGTCGCCTAAAATTACCCGCTTTTCGGGTAATTTACTTGCCAATTGCAGCGCTTCTGACGAGTGACAAGGAAATGGGAAAGAAAAATCAGATGTCGCAATCACTATAGCCCAGTATAGCAGTATATTGTAAAGCTCTATAACATGGACTTTTTTTCATTTTATTTAAAATTTAATTAAAATGACAAATTGTGCATTGCCAGGATGTAAAGAAAATAGATTTATTTCATTTGTTCTCAAAAGACTAAACGTGAAGAAATTGTAGGCTGAAGCAATAAGACGACCAAAATTGGGAAAATAACAAATTTCACTATATTTAAGGCTATGTGGACATCATTTTAAAGAAAGTGATTTTAACACTCTATAATCGTCTGCTGGTTTTTATTTTTTGTACTTTTTTACATATTAATTAAAGAGTTTTATACAAACTTTCATGCCCCATTTTACCCCCTTACGGATTGTATTGAAGTGCATTAATACCAAGATTTAAGTATCAGTAAGATCATAAATAATTCTTTGCGCATATAAACTTTATTACACCCTTTTTCATATATAAGGGATAAATTTCGAAAAAAAAAACAAATAAATATATTTCTTATTTTTATCTTAAAGCTAAACACCACTTTCTGTGTATTTCACATTAAGAATGACAGAGTTTCATACAATCTTTAATTCCCTATTTAACCCACTTAGGGGATGATTTTCGAAACATCCTTTCTTATTGGGTGCCTACATCATAATACGTCTTCCAAATTTCACGTTTCTATGACCAGCGGCTTAGGCTGTGTGTTGATCCATTAGTCAGTCAGGACCACCGCAGGATGCACCTCTGAGCCTCTCCTTCTCAATTCTTTCTTCAGCTGGTCTAACTTCCAGGTACAATACATTGCATAGCTCACAGGTAAGATACAAACACAATAGAAGCAAAAAACCAGGTACAAAAGAAATATCATAATAATATAGAGAATATTAGTATGAAATAGATAATATCAGAATAAAATAGAGAAATAAACTAACGTAAATAGTCGAGGGTTTGTATACTGGTATTTCATTAACTACTGTAGTCATGAAAAATTTTAAATTTTTGAACTCAGCACACTTCACTTCATCTACAACAGCTAAATTCAAATTTCTTACGCCAGTGCCATCTATTTTCAGCATACAGGTGGACACTTCTTCAACTTGTCCCCCATATAAGTCACTCCTCTTTACTTCTACCCTCTATACTTCCAGTCTAACTCTAATATTACCATGATTTAATTTCTACGAAACGATATATGTAGTGCAATCTCCATTGCATATAATATTAGTATAGAAATATTTGAAAAATAATAAATTAGAATAATAAAGGATTTGTTTTGTTCTAAATGTAATACTTAATTTTGATGCGTGTAATCGAACGTGCAACCGACATGGCGCCAGCGCCGTTGCGACACAGTAGCGTGACAAGTCATGTCATTTTTGCTCATGATATATGAAAAAAACCAATGGCAGATTCTTTTTTCGGGTTCGATACTTCGTTATCGGTGAGTTTTAAAAAGTTTCTACGCGAAATAATGAAGTTATTGGTATAAAATAACCATATATTCGCTTATGAAAGTTAAAGTGCCAGCGTGCCAACGATTGGTCATTGCAACAATTTTGATATTTTCCTCTGTTCTAAGGCCACATTTTACAATATGTTATTAGTATTCGTTCAATAACCTTTGTTTTCCAAGACTAATATTGCTTTTAAATAGCTTTATTGTGAAAAACGTGGAAATGGACCATTTGTATAAAGTGTAGATAAATTTTCGTATACATATCCACTTGTTTATCGAGAGTCATTTCTATATCTGTAAACGTATTTTTCACAGAATTACTCATAGCTTGACGATTGTTGTTTACTCTTACTTTGTTGTTTCATACACAGTTGATTGCGTTGCACATTAATTATTAAATGAACTTAAAAATTATATGTTATATTTATTCATAATAAAATAATTTTATTTACTTTGTAAATACTCAGTATAAATAGGATATGATTTATAATGTTTTACTAATATTTCGTACAATACCAATGCCAAATTAGAAAGAGATTGTGTGGCACTATAACTAGGTTAGTTATTTAAAGATTTCATAACATTAAATATTTGATTTTTCTTTTTAAATTCCATATGTTTTATATATTTATTTATAATTAATATTATTATTTGTTTATAATTAATATATATTTCGAATTTTAAGTGTGAAAGATTGTAAATCAGACTGCTAAAGCACATTTTTATTTGACTTGAATATTAAGGTTATTGTATGAATCACTCATAATAAATTCACAAATTATAATGGCTATCATTATTTAGAAAATAAAATAGAGATTCTATTTAAGTAGTAGTAAATGAGTCAAATCTTTTGATTTGGTTGTGCCTATAATGTTAGGAACATAATCTGTTTTAAATGCATAAAGTAGTAATTCATATATTGTGATTAAGTCCATTTTATGATTTATGTAAAACAAAACGTGAGTGGATGTAACATTTACGTGTGGTTAAAGTAAAACTTCTTTGGTGCTGTGGCACATACTCCAATTAAATTAAAACAAAATAAGATATATTTCTTATAAAATTATTAGTAATAAATAATAAATATTCATTTTTAAACGTAAACTATGTATGTTTATAGATTTTTCAGAGATGAGATATTTTCCTGCACTAAAAAGTATCCTGTTTGTTGAACCAGCTATCATCATACCAAAATTTCATCAAAATCTGTCTAGTGGTTTTGTTGTGATGCATTCCCTGACAAAAATTCTAAAAACTATAGATTCACCCTCTGTATCAATAATAATGCCTATTTTAATAAGAATTTCCAAAAAAAATATTTAATGTACAGATTTGTCTCAGTTAGAATTTTATTATATGTAGGTATAGTTAATTATTATAAAATTGTTAATAATAAATATATATTTTTATAAATAGTAATAATTATTATATAAATATAATATGTTTTTTAAAATTATTAATAATAAATTTGACTCTCACTTTTGCGACACTCATTTTCCCAATGTATTGACTTACCGTTCATTCACACCTAAACAAGTTTTACTTCTAAAATCTAAATATTGCTTGTATTTTAATTTTTTGTAGAGAATTTGACAATGTTTTATTTGTCTTACTAAAATATTTAAAGCACATGCAATTTATCTTAGAGAAACATAATATTAAGCTGCTTCAGAAAAAAATATATCTTGAATTAAATAAAAAATATGATTGGTTTATTGTAACATCATACATTAGATATACAAAAACCTTAGTCTCTCCCATGACCATGATTATTGTAAAGCATTCAAAACATCGGGAATCATATATTAAATCTGTGACATACTCCAAAAAGATAGTTTTATTTAAAACATAATTCATGTTATATTTTATCTATGAGTAGTTGAATTAAACATTGTTTGTGGCTTTATATTGTGTCCATAAATAAAAATAACTACAATTTTTTAATGTAAATGTAAACTTTTAATTCAATTCAATTTTCCTGTTAATGGGTTCAATACCATGCCATTTGAGCACAGATTAATTCGTCAATGTCACATAGAATGGAGAAGGAAAAGGAGATAAACTGTAGAAGTTGATCTTTACTCATAGTTGTCATTAATTAAAAAAAAAACCTGTGTGTGTACTTATGTACGCACATAAGAAGTTATACTTCTTTGGTGTAACAGAACAAAAATAGATAAAGATTTCATCCTTTATATCACAACTGTTTGTAAACGAAATGCAGCTACCTTCATCATGTCGGTTTTTGGCTGTCGGTTTGTTTTTGGATCGTAAAAATTTTACTTTCATAATTTCCTAAACATGCCAAAAGAAGTATAACTTCAAAAAATTGAGTACGTAGTATTTGAATTACAAAACTATTATTTGAGATGATCGAATTAGAATATATAGTGAAATTTCACAGTTGCTTACTATAGTAAATCTTTTAGATTTATTGCAATTGTTATAATTTCTTAATAAATATGTTGTGACATTAACACACAGCACCATCTATGTAGTTGCATGGTAAGCTACGAGGCTTGTGTTATAAATACCAGATAGTTGATTCATTATTCGCATATAATTTTAAATACATAATACATATTATAAATATAAACCCCCATGACTGGAGTACAAACATTCGTGCTCATCACACAAATGAATGCCCCTCGCGGGACTCGAACCCGCGGCCGTTGACACATCATCTTTGCTAATTGTAAACTAATATTCATGACCAGCGAATTACCCTCGCTATATATAATTATATTATTTAAATTACAAACAAACACTTCAATTTTATTTATCTGTTTAGAATGTAGATAATAATTTTAATTTGTTTATATTTCAATGGCGCAATTTATACTTAAATTTCGAGAATTTACTTTGAAGTTATAATCATTTTTTTACTAAGAATTATCTGTTTTAATGTTAAAATTTTCATAAACTTATTATTATTTTTTTTCAAATTTTCATCTTTCAGAACTTAAATGACGATGAAGGTGGAGGGGAGCCATCGGAAGAGGAATATGATGCTCTCAACGACGAGACATTTGGTCAGGACTGTAAGTATATTCATTATTAATAAATAAATAAATATGTTGGGACATTAACACACAACACCATCTAGTTCCATGGCAAGTTACGAGGCTTGAGTTATGGATACTAGATAGTTAATACACTACTCACATATAATTTTAAAACATACATAATACATATTATAAATAAAAATACCCAAGTACAAATATTCGTGCTCATCACACAAATTAATGCCCCCAGCAGGACTTGAACCCGCGACCGCTGACACAGCAAGTAGGGTCACTACAAACTGAACCAAACGTGTCTAAACATCTATACATATAATATAAAAAATTCTCACTGAGTTGAATCTGTACATTAAATAAATTGTGGAAAATCTTATTGAAATTGACATTATTATCTATACAGCGGCCGAATCAATAGTTTTTTAAATTTTTGCCTCGTGTCTGACCGCATCACGAAAAAAACCAATGGACAGATTTTGATGAAATTTGGTATGATGATAGCTGGTTATCCGGGTCAACATATAGGGTACTTTTTACTGCTGGTAAATATCTCATCTCTGAGAAACCTATACTGAACGTTAAAATGTGACCAGGGATGAACCCGAACGGAGCGAGGGTGAGTCTCTAGTCTTTATATATATAATTCTTCTGTGAGTGTGTATGTCACTGAACTTCTCTCAAACGACTGGACCGATTTTGATGAAATTTTTTGTGTGTGTTCAAGGGGATCTGGGAATGGTTTAGATTCACAATTTGAATAATAATTTTCATCAAAAAAATTATTAAAAAAAGTTTGAAATTTTCAAATTAAAGACGTGTAGACAGGACAACGTCTGTCGGGTCCGCTAGTTATTATTATATGACGCTATAAATATAATTTAATCTTTTTTTTCAGCGGAAGAGTTTGATTGGGAGGTAGAACATGAACATTTAGCTGAGCAATTGGAGAGTAGCCGTCGCAATGCGGCCCTCGATGAGGCAGATTCCAGACTTGGTATGTAATCTATAATAATATTATAAAGAGGCAAAGTTTGTGAGATTGTGAGTTTGTAACGGTGTAGGGGGTAATCTATAGATCTTCTTAACTGATTATATGGGGCGAAAATGGGGATGAAAGTATGTATGGGGAACCAACCCAGGGATGAACCCGAGCGAAGCGAGGGTGAGTCGCTAGTTTGAACTAATTTTCTTTGTTTCCCAAGAAATCTTATGCTATGTTTCTAAAGCAAATTTCATGGTGGGAGGGATTAATAATTTATGAATGTCAATATATGTCGTTTCTTTGCACTTTCTGTTTCTGTCCCGCTACATAACACTATTTCCCACACACGTGGGTGACTGGAAGAGATCTCTGAGATAGGTCCGGTCCATCTTTGCACGTCATTTTCTATGTATTTCTTTAATAGCTTAGTGCAATGAAGAATATAATATACTAGCGACTCTCCCTCACTGTCCTCCGATTCGTTCCTAGTTAAAAACGAAAACAAATCTATCCTACGGAAATGTACATTTTTCCGAGATAAAAAGTACTACCTATGTGCTATTCCAGACTATAACTTATATCTGTGCCAGATTTCATCCAGATCCGTTACGTTCTGGCATGATTGAGTAACAAACATCCATTCAAACTTTTGCATTTATAATATTAATGTAATTTCCACAGAGGCATCACTATCACAGCTAGTGCTAGATGAAACGGACGCGCCACACACAAGGAGCCTCGGTTCTAGCGTTTGGAGGCACGACCTATCGTTTTCAGCACCTACGGTTTGTAACTAATGTATAAGTTAATATTAGTATAACGTTTAGTATAGACTTCTCAGAGATGAGATATTTTCCCGCAGTAAAATGTATCCTATATGTTGACCCGGATAACCAGCTATCATTAAATCAAATTTCATCAAAATCTCTCTTCAGTGGTTTTTCCGTGATGCGGTCACAGACAGAGAGACAGACACATATTGATAATAATCACTATTTCGATAAGATTTTTCAAAAAATATTTAATGTACAGATTCTGCTCATTTTGAATTTTATTATATGTATAGACATGAATTGCTCGTTAAATATTATAGTACCTGGGCCACCGAGCTTTGCTCGGTGTTTTTGGCCAAAAAACATAAAAAAAAAACAAAAAAAAACTAAAAATTTGAATAAATACAAAAAAAAAACAAAAGTCAAAACTTTACATCCTACCGGGATACGAACCCAGACACCTGTGGTTGTCAAACTTGCGTCTTGGCCGCTTGACTACGATGCTTATGTCCTAGTGTGCGAATTAGCAACCATATTTTGCGTGGAATAATGTGAAACAAAACCGCATTAAAACTCGAAAACACGCGATTTCCCAGACGTAAAACTAATCTAGATCGAATAATCGCCTCCGAAACCCCTTGTATACTAAATTTCATGAAAATCGTTGGAGCCGTTTCCGAGATTCAGATTATATATATATATATATATATATATATATATATATATATATATATATATAAAATTTGCTTGTTTAAATATATTAGATAAAATTTATTTATAAATTTATTTATATTTAATCCACAGGCCATCCCGCCTCTCAAAAATGTATGCACAGTGGAAGAGTTGGAAAGGCAGTTGCGCCAAAACCAAGCTCCACAAAACTACTCTCAGAACTTTTATCAGGTAATCCCTTTACCCGACTGCGCCAGAAGGACGGTTATGTTTTTCAAGTAGTTGTGTATATGTATGTATATTTGTTTAGCATGATTTGTAGTCTAAACGGATTGATATATTATAGCTTGAGAGGTGTCGTTAGATTCGTTTTAATTGTGAGAGTGACTCTGGTTGTATTAAAATTATAAAAAATTGAAATGGCCTATTTTAGACGCCATATTATTATAGTTTTTTTTAGTCAGTACTATTATCTTATTGAAGAAATAAAGATTTTGATACGGTCTCTATAAAAAACTAGCGTCTAATTCTCGCTTCGCTCGGGTTAGTCCCTAGATTGATTCCTCGTACAAACTTTAATTCCCATTTTCACCCCCTTACAGGATGGTTACCGAGATACAAACTAAATAAATCCTATGTCCTTCCCAGGGTCTCAAATTATCTTCTTATCAATTTTCATCTAAATCGGTTCAGTAGTTCCAGAGATTACCACCTACAAACAAGCTCAAAAACTTACAAACTTTACGTCTTTATAATATTAGTATGACTATTATTTAACTAATTGGGTAATTATTTAGGAAAAAGTTGTTGGATAGATGCTTCCATAGATAGGTACTGAATAATAGTACGGACTTGGTTTAACATATTTAGATCTCGCAACTTTTTGCGGTAGAATTGCTTTGCGAGACTTGCATTTTATTACATGTTATATTTTTCGTGGGATAGATTAATATCCCACGGGAAACAGAATGACTCCTCGCTTCGGTTCACTGAAAAGTGGTTTAGTCTATTAACTGTCTGACTGTATGGAACCATTTTTTTTTAATTTATGACAAAACATTATTTTTTTATGCTTGAAGGTGTAATATTTTGTGACTGTCAATTAATATTACGTAAAATTTAGTTGATTATTATTTGTATAAGGGACCATTCGAGTATTACGTAAGCACCAAAAGGCATGGGAGTCTTTGCTTTGCTTATTTTTAATAACATGGGGACCCCCGTCTGGATGGTAATTACGTCAGCAATATTTATTTATTTAATTTTTTGGATTTTGTGCAAAATTTAGTAGATTTTGATTTGTCCAATCAAAATATAATAAATGTGCATTTAATTCCCTTATAGCCTACTAAAATGTAGTTTCGAAACTTGATAACTGCTGCTTATGAATAACACGACACGTTTGGCTCAGTTTGTAGTGACCCTACTTGTTGTGCCAACGGTCGCGGGTTCGAGTCCCGCTGGGGGCATTCATTTTTGTGAATAGCACAAATGTTTATACGCCAGTCGTGGGTGTTCATATTTATAATATGTATGTATCTAAAGTTATACATTTGTAGTGTATCAACTATCTGTTATACATAACACTAGCCCCGTAGCATACCATGGAACTAGATTCTGCTGTGTATTAATATCCCAACATATTAAAAAAAAAACAATAAAAAAATCTTGACCAGATAAAAAAAGAGCTATATAGGATGGGGGAGTTAAAGCTTTGATTACATTTGTTGACGAAGGGGTGGGAGGGATTAATAATTACTAAAATTCAGCTTACGCAATACTTCAATGGTCCCTAAATAATGATTATTATTATAAGTGGAAACTTTATTGGCTAATGAGAAGAATAGTTTTTATTTACATATATCTGTATTATAAAAGCAGTTTGTTTTCCAACTGATAATAAATAAATAGTAAATAGTAAGAAACTTATTTTTTGCTTACAGCCAAGATTCCCACCAGTTATCTTGCAAAGGCCGCCCGGACTTCAAGCGCCGGTACCATTACCATTCGCCCCACAACAACCTATGGCTCATAATATGAATCAAATGAATCAACCTATGAATCAGTCAATGAATCAACAAATGAATCAGTCAATGAACCAACCACTAAATAAAATCATAGGTCAAAACAACCAGATGAATCATATGATTCAAAATATGAACCAAATGGGTGGCATGAATCAAATGGGACAAAATGTCAACCAAATGGGACAAAATATTAATCAATTAGGACAGAATGTTAACCAAATGGGACAAAAAGGTAACCAAATGGGTCATAACGTCAACCAATTCATGCAAAACTCGAATCAAATGAATCAATTTCAAAACAACCAGATCGGACAGGGTATGATCAACCAAATGCAAAATATGCACCAAATGGGACAAAATCAAATGATGCCGCAAAATTTGAATCAGATACCGCCAAATATGAATCAAATGGGCCAAAATATGAATCAAATGGGACAAAATATGAATCAAATGGGACAAAATCAGATGATAGCAAATGGGAATCAGTTTGGAATGAATCAATTTCCACATATGATGGGACAACCGCGGATGATAGCGCCACCGCCGGGTATGAATATGCAGAGGCAAAATTTTACCCAAAATATGAATCAATTTAATCCGAATTTTCGTGTAAGTACGTTTATTTTGGCCTACTTATATAAATAGTGTCTTGTATCGTCATATTTTAATAATATTACTGGTAATAATACAATACTAGCAACAATATTTTTGACAACACTATAAATAATATAATTAAATTATTTTATTCCAGGGACCATCAATACCATCAAAAAACGATCAACCAATAATGAACCACATGAATAAACCCCAACCGCAAATAAATCAATCGAAAACACCGCAAAAAATCCAAAAGATCCAAACCCAGAATCAAACAATTCAGAATCAATCAATCCAGAATCAATCAATCCAGAATCAATCGATTCAGAATCAATCGAAATTGAAGAGTCGTGTCTATAATTCCAAGAATCTGACGTCCCAGAATCTGGTTCAGTTAATTCAGAATACGCATCCAATGTTACAATACAATAATAGTTATCACAATGCAAGTCATCATCCAATGTTGAATAACAGAATGTTTATAAATCAAAATGTCAACCATCCATTGTTCAGGCAGAACGGTACATTTGGCAACACTAATAGGTATGTTATACAAGTTTATTACTGACTAAAATAAATCTATCCCACGGGAACCGTACATTTTTCCATGATAAAAATTACCCTATGTGTTATTCTGATGTATAAGCTGTATTATTGTAAAGTTTCATTAAATTCCATTCAGTAGTTTTTGCGTGAAAGTGTAACAAGCATCCAGATGTCCTCACAAACTTTCGCATTTATAATATTATTAGGACTAGCTATTTGGTTAGGTTTCTTTTTGCCTTACATATTATTGCTTTAACACCTCCAGGTAATTTTCTAAGAAATTAATTAAATTTTTAAGAAATCTATTGTTAACTGTAACGCCGGCGTGTCCGCGGTCGTGGAAGGATTATATACTACTAGTGTAAGGAGATTTTTTTTGTATGTTCGTATGTTTGCTTGTGATGGATACATTAAAAAAACCCGCTGAACCGATTTAGATGGTATTTACTTATTATTAACGACTCACCCTCACTTCGCTCGGTTTCGTCCCCAGCTTGATTCCCCATACAAACTTTCATCCCCATTTTCACCCCCTTAAGGGATAAAAAGTATTCTATGTCCTTCCCAGGGTCTCAAACTTTCAATAAATGTATGTGGGATTTCCAAATTTCATCTAAATCGGTTCAGTAGATCCAGAGATTACCCCCTACAACCTCACAAAGTCACAACATCAAACATTCATGCTCATCACACAAATGAATGTCCCCAGCGCCACTCGAATCAGCGATCGCTGGGACAGCAAGTTGGGTCACTACAAACAAAGCCATATGTGTCAATTGTCTTGGGTGCGTTGATATAGGTCCCAATAATATTTTTTCTTATATTATATCTTCCATGTACAGACAGCGATCCATTGCATTTTTATTATATGTATAGATAGTCAGTGTGTCGTAAAGTTCTTTTATTTGCATTCTCGGATTTTACATATAATACCTGTTTTGTTTTTTATGTAACTTTTGATTAATATATTAAAACAAAATATATACATTTATTAATTTTATATGCTACGGAACCCTCGGTATGCGATTCGGACTCCCACTTGACTTATTTTTTTTATTTTAAAATATATGTATTTCTTTTCAGACACACAAATAGTGATGATAGTGGCAGCGACACTGATGAGTATGCCGGTCTCATGACGCAAAGAGAAAAGCAATGGCTTATAAACATACAGATGTTACAACTAAACACAGGAACACCATATATACACGATTTTTATTATACTGTGAGTATATATAGTGGTAGCCATTCAGCGGTAAAAGGGATAAATAAAATTGAAGTGTCTGTATGTAATGTTAAAATAACAACTATTTATTAAATGCATATGAAATTACTACTACATATATGGTTCTTATAAAGAAAAACACAATTTTTAAAATTTTTGTCTGTTTGTTCCGTCTAATCTCTGAAACGGCTGGACCGATTTTGTCGGGACTTTCACTGGCAGATAGCTGATCTTATAAGGAGTAACATAGGTTACTTTTATTTTAGAAAAAGAATTAGGGGGTTTTGCTCAAAAAAATTAAAACATACTTAGAGACCTGAGCGAAGCCAGGGTAAGTCGCTAGCATATCATAAAAATAGATCTATATAAAGGATATTTTAACTTTTTTAGTAAATGCAAAATATAAAACCAATAAATAAATAACGTATAATTTACAGGTATTTCTAGAAAGACAAGCAAACAAAGAAAAAGAAGGCATCAAAGAAGCTCATAAAGCGAATCAACAAAATCATCCTTTCTATAGTGGAGGTAAGATGCGAGTCTTTTAACTGATTTCAAAAAAGGAGGAGGTTCTCAATTCGGAGTTTTATATATTTTTATGTATGTTCGTGCATAAATAACTCCGTCCCATATAGACGGATTTGCAAAATTATTTTTTTGTTTGAAAGATGTTTATTCTGAAATAGTCTCAGTAGTTTTAAATTTGAAAAAAATATTCCACCCCTAAGTGTAGAAAATATGGGTGATTGATTTTTCACATACTGAATTTTATAAATACTCTCTTCTTATTTGGCTACTACTATGTCTACACTAAAAATGGAAAAATAAAAACTTAAAAAAATAATAAATAAAATATCAACATCTTATTAGGTATCTATAGTATATAGTTAGTTAGTTTTAAGGTATATATGCTATGGGCCTCTGTTTACATATTTAAGATCCTTTTGTAAATATTGCCTGAAATAAATGATTAAATTAATAAAAAAAAATATAGTTATCTATTCCATACTAAATGTTAACTATAGTCCATTCGTGTTAAGAAATTGTGAGTCATCAGTGCAACGGCAGGTAAAGGTGTATATAAACTGGAATAAAAATTTAATTCAAATATATTTCATTATATTCAAATATAATATAATAATGATAATGACTAGTTTGATTTCACATATTTAATAAACTTAATTATCTCAAATCAAAATAAAGTAATTAATAATATATTTATTAATGACTTTAAAGTACTTAAAAACATTGTAAATTACTCGTTTTTCTTCGCTACGAATTATCAATCCATTTTTATTCTTACAAATAGGTGAGGTGTTCATTTAATTAAAATTTATTTTATAAATCGCACAAATGACACACTATTTCTTACGTAAGTCTGCCTTGAAGTTCGTCGTTGTCGTCTCAGCCCAAACACGTCCACTGCCAGACGTAGGCCTCCCCCAAAGATTTCCACGACAACCGCTCTTGCGCTATCCGCATCCAGTGGACTCCAGCGACTTTGACCAAGTCTTCGGTGCACCTTGTGGGAGGCCAGCCCACCCTTCGCCTTCAAGTTGTTTTTGATTGTGAAATTTGCTTAATAATTTTATGCAATTTAATTGGTCACAGACAACGAGGACTTACTTTTATCTAAACGCGATTGAACTATAGTACATATCCAACGTCTGGTTAGCCGTTAGTATATTGTAATATATATTTTTTTAAATTCCAGCAGTGAAACAAGACAACGAAGCACACAGACACGGACGCGAGCGTCACAACTCGCACCGTCACAACTCGACCAGCGAGGACGCGCCGCGGGCGTACGTGCCCACGCAGTTTGAGAACTCGCTGGGGAAGCTGCAGGTGGGTGGGTTTGGGTGGTATTCGTTTGTGGGGTGCGGTAGAGTGAGAGGGATTGGGTGGGATTTGTTTGTGGGAAATGGTAGATTGGGTGGGATTTGTTTGTGAGGAATGGTGTAGGTGGGTGGGATTGGGGGATTAAGTTTGAGGGACAGTGTGGGTGGGTGGGATTGGGGGGATTCGTTTGCTAGGAAAGAAACTTCTATTTCCGATCCCAAAACTTACAGATCGTTACAATACATAATTGTACCACGCCATATTACCAACCTACTTTCAAATTGATCTTGTATTTTGATTAGAAGATAATTTTAAATTAAGATAAGTGTGAGAAGTGATTTAAAATATTATTATTTAAAAAAATATTTGGACTATTTTAATAGACTCATTAACAATTTTTTAAATTAAATTAAAACAATATTTATGTCAAAATGAAATTATACAAATAATTTGGATATTTTTTTTTTAAGAATTGAATAACTGTTAATTTATTGTAGGTATCTATACAGATAAATAAAATTGAAGTGTCTGTTTATAATGTCAAAATAACAGCTTTTTACTATAAGCATATGAAATTATACAGTATTTATAAGAAAAACACAATATTTAAAAAATTTTGTCTGTCTGTTTGTTCCGGCTAATCTCCGAAACGGCTGGGCCGATTTTGAAGGGACTTCCACTGGCAGGTAGTTGATGTTATAAGGAGTAACTTAGGCTACTTTTATTTCAGTAAGTAAAGGAATTAGGGTTCGGCTCAAAAAAATTAAAATGTACCTAGGGACAAACACGAGCGAAGCGAGCATAATTTGCTAGTATTTAAATAAGAATAATAAAACATATATATATATATATATATATATATATATATATTATATATTTTATATGATATTTAATATATTTCCCAGTGTGGCAGTGTGACGGCGCCCAGAAAGATCATAGATGTGGAGCTGGTAGCGGAACCCGCTTCGGGAAGGCAGTCGCGGGCGCCGAGTGTTGCCAGCACAACTAACCCTGCTGAGGTACTGTATGGTTGTATGGTTTTTTATTTATACATACAGATAAATAAAATTGAAGTGTCTGTATGTAATGTCATATTAACAGCTTTCGCTTTCGCTAGTTTATTATATATTCCTGGAGACAATGGTAGCCCAGTGATAACGCGCTCGCTTTGGACACGAGTGTAGCGGGTTCAAATCCCGGGTCTCGCACCTCTGATGTGATCATGTGCGAATCATTTCCAACATGATTACCACTTGTCTTAACGGTGAAGGAAAACATCGTGAGGAAACCTGCATGTTTGAGAGCAACCTAGCAAGTTTTTACTTGCTCAGTCCGCCCGCACTCGGCCAGCGTGGTGGACTGTGGCCTGATCGCCCTCGTATTGAAGGGAGGCCTGTGCCCAGGAGTGTGGGACATTAAAAAATGAGGCTGAATATAACTGAAATAAGTTCTTTAAAGTTTGTCAAAGCCTAAAATATTTTTTATAATAAAATTAATTATATTTATATAATTTTTAGGTTCCAAGAGAAATTCGAAGGACGAAACAATTATTACTGGACATAGAGGCGTTGTATTTAATTTTGTTGAGACTCGAAGAGTTGAATGATCCACTCGCTATATCGAATGCGCTTATTTTAAAAGTAAGTAAATATTTTTTATATATTTTTATTGCACTAACTTAGGTGAGTGACAACTATACTAATATTATAAATTTGAAAGTTTGTGAGGATAGGTGGATGTTTTTTTCCTCTTTCATGCCAGAATGGCTGAACGGATATAGATGAAATTTGCCACAGACATAGATTATAGTCTGGAATAGTACATAGATTACGTTTTACGCCGGAAAAATGTACGATTTCCGTGGAATACGTTTCTTTTTGTTTTTCTCTTGGGACGAACCCGAGTGAAGCGAGGGTGTGTTGCTAGTAATATTAAACACAAGAAACGCCTTCTTTTGAGAATTTTGGTAACTGTAACCAATATGTTACTCCAGGTCATAGTTTATCTGTGTAGTTTCATCACAATCACAAAATCCAGATATTGTTAATAGTTATATCATAATTTTTTTGTGATTATAAACTTATTTTAATGTTTCATGCTACGGAATCCTCTGTTTGTAAATAAGACTCTCACTTGTCCGATTTTTAAAAATTTAAAACCCACTTATTACAGGAAAGAGAAGAAAAACAAAAACAATTAGAAGCGGCTCAGAAGGAAGCGGAAAATGAACACGAGGATGAGTCGAATCTCTTTTTAAAGAATATCGAATCTGTCCAGCGGAGGCCTAAACAGGACAGCCCTAAAAGCGAATGTATAGATAAAAGACAGGTAAATAAATATGTTGGGACATTAACACACAGCACCATTTAGTTCCATGATAAGCTACGAGGCTTGTGTTATGGATACCAGATAATTAATACACTACACATATATAATTTTAAATATTACATATTATAAATATAAACACCCATGACTTAAGTACAAACATTCGTGCTTATCACACAAATGAATGCCCCCAGCAGGACTCGAACCTGCGACTGCTGGCACAGCAAGTAGGGCCACTACAAACTGAGCCAAGCAAAAATTTATTTAACTTGCAATGTTTTTTGTTTGGGTCAAATCTTGTAACTGAATTTTAAAGCAGTTATCCTCAACGATTGAGTTGAAATTTTGCATACATGTTTAGTTTAGATGACAAATGACAATGCATGGTTAGATAAGTGACGTCATTCTAAATCCAATATGGCTGACTCCCAACGATGGCGGGCTGTTTTTTTTACATTTTTAAAAACAAGCTTTTATTTAAATGCTTTAAAAAAAGAAAATAAACTTTAAAACCCATCAATTTATTACATTACACAATTCATATGATACTAGCGACTCACCCTCGCTTCGCTCGGGTTTGTCCCTAGGTTGATTCCCCATACAAACTTTTATCCCCATTTTCACCCACTTACGGGATGTTTCCAGAATAAAAGGGTGTTCTTCCCAGGGTCTCAAACTATCTTCTTACCAAATTTCATCTAAATCTGTCCAGTATTATTTTAAATTATTGGTAACAAACATACAAAAATTCAAATCAAAATTCAAATGTTTATAATATTAAGTATAAATAGTAAGAAAATATTTTCTTGTGAATGATCAAAATGATTGATCAATCGTTTCATTTGTTCCTATCAATCAACAGGTTGTCAATCTGGCGGTGAGTCAGAAACCACCGGTGAAGAATCTATTGGACGAAGACAAAGACGACTTGCTGAACAAAATGTTTGCAGGACTGTTACATAGTGATCGGTTACAGCAAATGTTAGCTGTAAGAAAAGGGAGGGTTAGTTGATATTGTTTACTTGGATATGTATTATTTAGTTTAGCCTTGGTTTTCTAGTGGGTGATATGTACGAATGTAAATTCGGCGGTCCTGGGTTCGAGTCCCATTTGAGTAAAAAATGGCTATATTCGTCAATTCTTGAATGTTTTGACAGATACCATGAAAAAAACTTTTTTTTCATTCAAACCAAAATTTTATTCATTGAAACTAAAAATTTCAATTAATTATTTATTTCAAAAATCTCAAAATGTTGAGTATTATTGTTTTTTATTTCAAAAATGTTTTTTTATAAGACACGAATTCTATTCTCCAAGCTAAGAAAAAAAAAAATTTTTTCATTTCACCCTAATATACATACATATGTCTACAGGTCCTGTTAGCACGCTTTCTTTCACGTACCCCGCCGGCGCACGCTCGTTTACGTGCACTGTGGGCGCGTGTACTGCGTGCGTTGCCATCGGCCGCCCGCCGTGACGATGGTGGACTGATGGCTTTGGCTGAGTTCTATAGACGGTGAGTGTTGTGGTGGTGGGTGGTAGAGATATTTCCAGGGTGGGGTGTTGTGTATTGTACTGTGGTTAGGTTGGTGATGGTGGTGGATATGGTTATTTATCCAAAGATAGCCTTGGCAGAGCTTTATAGACGATGGGTGTTGTTGTGGTGGTTGGTAAGTTGGTGGTCGTGGTGGTGGTGATGGTGGTTATTTGTCCTAAGATAGCCTGGCAGAGCTTTATAGACGGTGGGTGTTTTAGTGGTGGTGACTGTAACGTCACGCCAAGTGCACGAATTGGCGGGCATTTAAAGTATCCATATAGGTATATTAAAATATATATATATATATATATATATATGTACTAATTTTTAGTTTTTTTTTGGGGCTGAATATTTTTTTTACAATTATATACAAAATAAAATATAATCACGCATATTCCCTATTCTACAAAAAGTATCCAGTGATGCACCGCGAACCGTATTTCGCGCCATCTCGAGCAAAACTAAAGTCAACTTGACAATGGCACTTTACAGCTTGATGTTAACACAGATTATCAAATGTCAAAATTGTGAATTCGTCCTAGATATAATACAATATTTTTTTTTCTCTACAGATATATACAAAACACATCTGGCTGGTCTGCAGTGATAGAGTCGTGTGGGATACTCTCTGAAGCATTGGATCCGGCTCGAACGCCACACGCTTTAACATCTTCTGTGAGTTATTATTACAATATACATACATATTTGTGTATATTTAAAATAAAACTATCTTTTTGGATTTTTTTCGCGGATTTATTTTGGATTTTTGTCAAATTTTCGCATAAATCTAAGAGAGTATCATATATGTGTGGCATTCCACGCCAAATCGGATGGTTTCAAATTTTTTTATTTTCTTAATATTTTAGTACCTCTCAAAAGTCTTCCTGGTAAATTTTGAGTTTTTTTTATCATTTCTTAACCCATTTGGGTTATTCCAGACTATAATCTATCTCTGTGTCAAATTTCATCCAGATCCGTTTAGTCGTTCTAGCGTGATATAACAAACATCCATCCAGCCAAACATTCGCATTTATAATATTTATTATATTATTTATCGCATTTATAATATTATTATATATATGGGATTAAAATGAATAAAAATATATTTATTTACAGTTAACACTAAGCTGCGTGTGCGCATTGATGGAACGCGCCATACTTCTAGTGAACACGCCAGACGCGACATCAAACGAACGTCAATGGTACAAATTCCTTAAAACACTAGCACGTGCACTGAAAAACACAAATCTACCCATAGCGAAGCCAATACACACGATGCCTGAGCAGAAATTGATGCAACACATCAAACAACTCGAGTCGAGGTCGACTATAGAGATATTGCAACGGGGCAAGTCGGCGGACTTCGAACTGACCAAAAACGATGTTTCCGAACAGCTCGTCAAACATTTGTGTTTGTGAATCGATTTTTATTAATCACATCGATCGAATCGTTTTTTTTAATTAAGAATCGATTGAGTCGATTTTTTTATTAAAAATCTATCGAATCGATTCTTTCATTTCATTAAGAATCGATTGAATCGATTTTCGATCGATTACATCGATTTTGGTGACTATTGGTTGATGTTTTTATTTTAATTAGTAAATCTTAAAGTTTACTGGTATATTTGAACGTTCGGATTTGGGCTGTGCGTTAAAAAATCGCGTCGTTTTTTTTTTAAAATTTGATTGATCATAGCTATAATATATTTGTATAAATGAATTTGACGATTTTTTTTCTCACAGCCTGGTGTATAAATGTAGATATGGCCTAGATGTTCGAATATTATGACGAAAATATATAATTTGATCTAATAAAATAACATAACAAATATAAACTATTTTTCGTCATACGAGTATAATTATTTTTTTTATTACTTAGTCGATAAGTAGACTTAATTTTTTTTTTACTTTGACTAAATTTCATTCAAAATAGAACTATATATTTAAAAAACGGTTGTTTTGGTGTCTTTTTGTTGTATTTTTTTTTGTTTAATCGAAAAATCCAGAAGTGATTGAGGAAATGTACGACAATTTGAAATGCACCTCGTTAATAAAACGTTTTATACGTTTTTTTATATATATATATATAATAAATGTGAAATACGTTAGATGTATGCGAGTAGAAATTAAACATTTTTTAAAAACAAACTATATTTTGGTCAAGTTTGTTAAAAAAAAGTAAGTTGACGTATATAAAAAAAATGCTTAATTTCCGCTCAAATTCGCAACTACGTCATTCTGATATTAGTTTAGCATAGAATGGCAAAATTAAAGCTTTTATTATATATTAAGACGGCACTATCGTAGTGTCGCCAGGTGTTAAATCTTCGACATTAGAAACACAAAAAAAAAAATAAGTTTAAGACATACAGTCCAGTTATTAATATTTTGACTAAAAAGCAGCTAATTTATTATTTAAAAACACGGCGTTGAGCTATTTTTGATAAAATTCTAATGTAAGTTATAGATATATAACGTGTTCTAATGTCGGTGATTGTTGAATTCGTCAAATATTTTTTCTTATGACAAAAACCTGGCAACACTTATCACAATTACAGTAAAAAAAAAAAACTATTTTATCAACTCATGTACATAATAAGGATTATAACACTTGTAGTATATTAGCTTTTTAATTTAAATAAAAAGAAAAAAATATGCTTTTTTTTAATTATAACTATTTAACTGGGGTTGCTAGTGTAAAATAAATCCATTGAATTTTATACTATGGAGGATATATGTTTGTAATCCATAAAAATTCGTGGAAAGAAAAATGGAGGGCTGATTTTTTTCATTTTTTTTTTAATTAATTAAAGACTGTGATCGCCCATTGGTTAATTTAAATTGTTCTTTTTTTTATTGTGATAGGGAAAAATCAGTCCTCATACAAAATCACATTTCGACATTTGTTTTACGTCATGTGACTTTGGCATGTATTTAATGTTAAAAAAAATAATTTGTCCCAATACGGTTATATCTTTTTCATAAAACAAACTAAAAATAGGTAGGTAATAATGTTATTTAAATATTTTTTTCTTAATATCTTTTTTTATATAATATTAAAAAAATCGAAAATAAAAACATTTTTTTTTCTATCAATAAAACCTTTTTGCATTTTATTTCCAATTTTTAGTGGTTATGTGTAGATATAACTTTATGGGATAAATGAAGTTTGCTCGGCGGTTTTGATCTTTATCACAAAGCCATATGTTAGATAGTTCAATGGCAGATTCACTTATGCACTAAATAAGACGGGATTTAAAAAAAACATTTTGTATTAAAAAGTTCATACATAGAAATAATTTTGTATCTTTTTTTTCACATTTATTAATCTAAATATTTCCCCATTTTTAAATTTCAGTATTAATAATAATTGTGTATGTATGTATATGTCAGGTTAGGTGCTAATTTGTGTTTTTTTTAAACATAATGTTTGAATGAAAATTAAAGGATTTGAAAATTTTCAGAAATTAGAAGTTGTAAATTAAAAAAGATATATAATATTTAATTCTAACGGAAATATTTTATAAGTTAACTTTTTAAATTACAAATAATAAAAAGTTAAATTTTTTTTAAGAGGAAAAAATCACAAATATCTTACTCAAAATTTTTTAATATTAGCACCATCTTAATTTTTATTTTGACACATTTTTTTAATAATTTATGAATAATAAAAATTAAAATTCCAATTTCGATTATAATTCCCGTCTCCTTAATAAATTTCATAATGTAAAATAAATTTGTCAAAAGATTTTTGCGCTCCATTTCCTACGTCAAAATGACATTTGTTTTGTCACATTCATAGCCGACCGATGGTTTTTTTTAATATCGGTCATCATTACCAGTTACAATATTTGAATGCGTGCAAATTTTTTTTTTATTATAATAATTATGTAAATAATAAAAATCAACTGCCACTTTGGGATAAACCGTTTGATATGACGTTATCACATTTATTTTTAACGTTTTAAATGTTCGGTGAAGTTAGTTTTTTTACTATCTATTGGTAGGTTTTAGTTTTTTTATCAGTAAAATAATTAAATGGCAATTTGTTTATAGTATGTCACTTGTTTTATTTTGATATATCCTATATTTTAATTGAAGAAAAGATAGCTGAATTTTGTGTTTATGTATGTACTAGCGACTCACCCTCGCTTCACTCGGGTTCGTCCCTAGGTTGATCCCACGTACAGACTTTCAACCTCATTTTCACCCCCTTAAGTGATGATTTCTGGAATAAAAAAATAATATCCTATGTCCTTCCCAGGTTCTCAAACTATCTTCTTACCTAATTTCATCTAAATCGGTTCAGTAAATCCAGAGATTACCCTCTACAACGTCACAAACTCACAAACTTTACCTCTTTATAATATTAGTATTTATGTATGTTTGTTTGCGTATGCATTTATACAATAATTAATGAGTATAAGTGCCTATATTATTTTATTAGCTAATCTGTATACCGCCTACCGTCTCTGCCACACACCTGTCCACCTTAAGGTTGCCTGGAAACAGGACCGAATTAACCACGCCGGGGGCCCCTACGCAATGCAATTATCGGGGCCCTTTCACCGTTTCTAACTTATTAAAATAATTTTTTCGTAATTTCGCTATTAGGTAGATTTCTAACTGTTGCATTTGTCATCATGGTGGAATTTTCACCTATTTTTTATTTTATTTTTAAATAAAATTTTCACTCGATGATATATTTTCATTTTTTTACCGTTTGTGGGGCCCCTAGCCGATGCGGGGCTTATAGACAGTTGCCTAAACTGCCTTATGGATAATCCGGCCCTGCCTGGAAGAGGTCGCCTGTTGCGATAAAGGCCGCTTGCTGTACATGTATTTTTTGTATATTATTTTCGTTATGTTTCTTTATTTTATAAGATGTACAATAAAAAAGTATTATCTATCTAAATTGGTGAATATATCATCGCGCAACTATTATAAATGGCTAAGGTTTTATGTGAGTATGTTTGTTCCTCCTTCGTGCTAAAACAACTGGACTTATTTAGATAAAAGTTAGTACACAGTACAGTAGCATCAACAAACGCATGTTTTTTAAATATCCAACGGGAACTCGTTAATTTTCTGGGATGAAAAGTATCTAACATGTTGACCGGGGATAAAAGGTACCATTTTTACCATACATGCAATATTTCTTTTAAAATCGGTCCAACAGTTTTGGAGATTAGCCCGTACAAACAGAATAACAGACAGGAAAAAAAAATTTGAATAAATGGATTTGTTCTATTTCTCTTCTTACATCCCCCTGACTCGGTTTTTAGCATTTTTTTTCTATGTACAGACATTCGACCTCTACTGTTTTATTACATGTAATTGATATTTGAGTTACTTCATAAGGCTAGAACTTTTTTTTTAAATTTGATTTTCATATTTCTTAGGCAAAGAAACTCTCCGTATGCCTAATGAATTATTGCCTCAAATATACAAATGTCAAAAGAGTATTTTGTACAATGTAAAGTGTAGGTACAGTATTTTTTACTATATAAGGTACAGTTGAAATTGCTCGTTTTTTATAATATACTAACATTGCCCGCGGCTCCGCCCGCGTTCAGATGACTAAAAGCAAATTCTTAGGTTTTACATATTAGTATACTCTTACATTGCAGTTTTTGTATTTTTTGTCAGAAATGAGATATTTTCCCGCGGTAAAGAGGATCCTATATGTTGACCCGGATAACCAGATATCACCATACCAAATTTGATCAAAATCCCTCCAGTGGTTTTTCTGTGATGCGGTAACAGACAAACAGACAGACAGACAGACAAATATTTTAAAAACTATAGATTCGGCCTCTGTATCGATAATAATGTCTATTTCAATAAGATTTTCCAAAAAATATTTAATGTACAGATTCGGCTTAGTTACAATTTTATTATATGTATAGACTTATCTAGTTTTTCGCTACGAATAAGAAAAACTCTCCGTATAAATAAACTCTCATTAATATGGAGAATTTTATTTCGATCAAATGAAATGATCAAATTCAAAAGTATTAGGTGAATAAAAAAAAACGACATTAGTAAATATAATTTATTAAAACTTACAAACAGATAATAAACAAATTTTATCCATACATAAATTTATGTACTTTTTTTGTATGTACTAATAATATTATTCTAATTAACTTACACATTACAATAAACTAGCTTTTGTCTACGACATTGCTTGTGTGTATATTCTAAATAAAAATATACTATACCTAATTAAATATATTTGTAATTTCAATATATTACAATAAAATTTTCTTGTAAATAAATTTAGTTAATGTACACAAATATAAAAAATATAGATATTATATATATATGAACTTGAAATTTTATATATATACTAGCGGCTCACCCTCGCTTCGCTCGGGTTCGTCGCTAGGTACGTTTTAAACAGATATAAATAGTTATTAGCCAGCGTTAGCCATATAATTTTTTTATGTTAATAATATTTACAAATATTGACATTAATATTTATACGATACTAATGTCACTCAATTGTTTTTCCTTCCCGGAACCTCTCCGCTAACACTTAAACTTTATGGTATGGTATTAAAGTTCAAATTGACTTTTAATTATTATTACGAATCTTTTGTATGGGAGTATAGAAAAGTGTTGTTTTTAGACTTTTTCAGGCAATTTTTAAAATGTTTCTCTCCGTAAGAACCATCCTCGTACTTCAAGGAATATTCTAAAAAAAGAATTAGCGAAATCGGTTCAGCTGCTCTCGAGATTTGCGCTTACCAACACTTTCAGCGATTCATTTTTATATTATACTAGCATTGCCCGCGGCTCCGCCCGCGTTCAGATGACCAAAAACTAAATTCTTAGGTGTTACATATTAGTATACTCTTACATTGCAGTTTTTGTATTTTTCCTCAGAAATAAGATATTTTCCCGCGGTAAAAAGTATCCTAGGATCGCGCGCTACATCGCCCGGTTTATATAGCTTGAGCAGGCGGTCGAGCGATGCGGGGCAGAGGGGATGGACTCGCCGTAGGCATCTCAATGCTCGCCAAGCATTAAAAATGTTTCGCTACTAATTACTTCTAACAACGATATCTCAAAAACTATTCATCTGATTGATTTAGTGTAAAGAGCAATTTTAATCTGCATTAAATGACTAAGCTAACTAAAATATTCATTTGGATAAGGATTAATACCGAACTAAAGAAAATAACTTTGAAAATAACGTAATGTTTTTAATTAAAAATGTTAACATAAAAGTGGTTATTGTAAGTCAACCGTAAGAGATAGAGATATGCTATCGCGGACTTTTTTGTAGCATTTTTATAGATTTTGAATTCTCTAGTACATTACTTAACTGTATCTTTGCTAGTTTACGCGGCGTTCGCGTGGAAAGTTCCCATTTGGCGAGATTTTTTGCGACCTCTTCAACATTTGTCGCCGTATTTCAGCTAATTTACATAAAAGCATAATAAATTATATACCTAAACCTTCCTCAAGAATTACTCTTTCTATTGTTGAAAACCGTATAAAAATCCGTTCAGTAGTTTTCGAGTTTATCGCGTACAGACAGACAGGAGGACAGACAGGAGGACAGAAAGACGCGGCCGGGGGACTTATTTTTATAATAAGTATAGATATATACATATATACTCTTAAGTCTCATTCCAATTTATATTATTACTAGCGACTCACCCTCGCTTCGCTCGGGTTCGATCCTAGGTTGATTCCCCATACAAACTTTCATCCTCATTTTCACCCCCTTAAGGGATGACTTGATAAAAACGTATCCTATGTCCTTCCCAAGATCTCAAATTATCTTCTTACCAAATTTCATCTAAATCAGTTCAGTAGATCCAGAGACTACCCCCTACAACGTCACAAACTTTACCTCTTTATAATATTAGTATAGATTAAGGCTTTCAGAATGATCAATGAAATTAATTTGAATGAAATGATTATAGGTACCATCAAGACAAAAATCTTATAATATTAATTAATGAACAATTCTTTATCGGAAATGGAAAAGCCTCTAACGATTTGGATAAAATTTTGTATTTAGATTAGGTTTTGTTTTTTAAGTTTATCTATATAGGTGTCTCTTCTGAAAAACGTCCATATTAATCCTACTAATATTACAAATACGAAAGTTTGTGAGGATGTTTGGATATATAGATGTATGGATGTTTGTTACTCTTTCACGCAAAAACTACTGAATGGATTTTAATGAAACTTTATAATAATATAGCTCATATACTAGAATAACACATAGGCTACTTATTATCCTGGAAAAATGAACGGTTCCCGTGGGACAGATTTGTTATTGTATTAAAACTTAATCAGTGCCATGAAAATACACAATGACAGACCAATAAGTAAACAGAAGCAACAATCAAATGTCCAACCATAATAGGAAAACCGATTCTAAAGAACTGCATGAAAGTGAACCTATAGCCGTGCTGCTCGGCGACTCCGGCGCACACCACGTTCGCGCTCGCGCCGATTAGGGTGCCGTTACCTAAATTAATATGAGAGAAATAATAAAGAACCGGTCAAGAGCGAGTTGAACTCGCACGCGAAAGGTTCCATCGTACAAGATATAACAACAACACTATATTATGATAATAATCGTTTTTTTTAATTTGCATGGCCGTTATTTTGAAATTCGCCATCTTGTTTTTTTTTTGTTGTAGTGGCAATAGAAATATACACTGAAAACGTCAACTCTCTCTCTATCATAGCTCATGAGATAGAGCCATCTGACAGACGGATGGACGGACAGCGGAGGCATAGTAATAGGGTTCCGTTGACAGTGATAACACCTTTCGGGTGCGGAACCCTAATGAAAAAGTCTTTGAAATTTGTAAGATATTATAAGTACTTTTGCCTATTTTTGTTTCTAGGATGTGTCTTTCATTGAAATCAGTTCAGTGGTTATATTCCAAAAACACAGGTTTCGCTTTTAATAATAATATGTTTTACGTTTCGAATGCTTTATAGTAGGGGAGCCCAAGAGGGGATTTTCTGTAGTTACTCGAGCTATAAAGTTTATGATGATTTTTGCCTCTTAGGCTTGTGCAAATCGGCAGATTATTAAATTGGACACTTTTCAGGATGTGACTAGCCTACCACACCTTAATCTGACGGTTTCAAGTATTTTTACCTTATCAAAACATTTTTTAAATATTTTAATCGGCTTCCCTAGACGCGCCCCTTTATATAGAAGACTTATATTGTGGTGAAAGTACTCAATAGAGTGCAAGGTAACCTCTTTTGTGTTAATCTGCCGCGCTCGAGTAACTACAGAAAATCCCCTCTTGGGCTCCCCTACTATTACGGCAATCATGGTTACGGGAGAGAGAACGTCGAGAATCAAAAATCGAAATAAATTCGCGAAAAAATCTTAAGATATATATAGTTTTATTTAAAATATCAAATATTTGCGTAAATCTAAGAAAGTATTAGAAAAAGTTAGTAAAAAATACACAATTTAAGTATAGCAAAAGAATAAAAAAAAATGTACAGAAAATTAGATGTTCTATATACATACCTCCTAAGCAGGCACCAAATAGGAGGGACCAGATTAAAGGAGCCATGGGGAGGTTCAAGGCGGGGTTGGAGCCGATGGAGACCACCACCCTCACCATCATGGTGGTCAATGGTATGTTGTCTACGAATGCTGATATTGTGCCGGATATCTGTAATTAATGGAAAATATATAATTTATAATAATATATGTACTCGTATATAATATGTACAGAACCCGCACCTTAGATCGCGCTTAAACTCATCCCCTATTTAACTAACCCCTTTATGGAATGAATTTTGAAAAATTCTAAAACACGTATTTATTTGATTGTATTGAAGAACATTAATACCGAGTTTCAAGTAATTCTGATCATAAATATTTTTTTGGGTTATATTATAACATATTTTGCCGTGGGAATGAGATAACCTCCCGCGGTAAAAAGTAGCCTTTGTCACTTTCCAGCCCTCTTAACTATCTCCACACAAAAAATCACGCCAACCCATCGATCCGTTTCGACGTGAAAGAAGGACAAACAAACACACTTTCAAATTTATAAGTATGGATGGAAATAAAAATATAAATGTCCATTGTGCAATATTCCAAATCTTAGATAAGTACTCCACAGATTGTTTTAAAGTTTGATATACGAGTATAAGTAATAAGTTTATTATATACTAGCGATTCACCCTTGCTTCGCTCGGCTGCGTCCCTACATACGTTTTGAATAGATAAAACTAGCTATTGCGAGTATATCTTAGGAGATAGATATATGCTAATGTGGACTTTTCTGTAGGTCTTTGTAAGACCTACAATTTTCTATTATCTTGTTTTGATGTATCTCTTAAAGTTTAGTCAGCGAAAACAGTTTTTTTAAAAAAAAAAACACCAAACACGTACCGTCGACGTAACGTCTTATCCATTTTGTATAAAATATTAACAAAATACAAACTTACTGGTTTATCGCTCTTCTATTAGTAAAAACCGTATCAAAATAATAGTTTTTGTGCCCAAATAAATCATTATAATTTTTGTCTGAGTGACTACTCAGCCGGTCCAGTTATTTTATTTTCCCGTGGGAATGAAATATTTTCCTGTAGTAAAAGGTATCCTAAATGCTGACCCGAGTAATAAGTTATTGCTTCACAAAATTTAGTTAAAATCGGTACAGTACTTTTTGCAACAAAAACAGACAAAAATTTCAACAACGATTCTTTTCGGGTGTATATTAAACACAATACGTAGCAGCCATAGTTTTAAAAAATAATAATTTATATACAGATTTGACTTCGTTACTATTTTCTTATATATATAGTTACAATTATACTATTATTTTTTTGGTGTAAAAATGATTAAATAAATATATTATAATTAAAAACAACCCACCCATAATATCAGCATCAAGGCAACTCCCAATCGAGCACTTTCGTCCACTTTCAAAATCAATTTCTCCATCAAGCCTCCGACATATAATATAAGACCGAGTTTTGATAATGCCTGGAAAAAAAGTACAGTAAGTATATTTTTTTAAATATATATTTAAAAAAAAATTAAATATAAAAATATTTCAGCCCTTTAAACGTCCTAATGCTCTCCAAGACTTAACTACCCACTTCACTGGTAGCAGTTTTTGGACTTAATACGTCTAGTAGGTTTTTTACATTATGAACAAGTTATTATCTCAATGTTTGTTTGTCCAAACGACCAATTTACCGTTAGTATCGTAAAGAGTTTTTATTACAAAATTATCTATCTAATATATTTAAACGAATAATGCTTGTATGTTTATCTATACCCGCGATCTCGGAGACGGCTATAACGATTTCGCTGAAATTTGGAATGTGGGGGTTTTCGGGGGCGAAAAATTGATCTAGATTAGTGTTATGTCTGGGAAAACGCGTGTTTTCGAGTTTTTATGCGTTTTTATTTCGCACGCAGAGCATAAGCATCGTGGTCAAACGGCCAAGCCGCAAGATTGACAACCACAGGTGTCCGGGTTCGCAACCCGGTCGGATACAAAGATTTTACTTTTGTTTTTTTTTTTATTTATTCAATTTTTTGTTTTTTTTTAACAGAGAATTGTACTCGATCGCCCAGGTACTTGACTTTTAAATATAAATTAAAATACATAAATCAATTGGTTGAAAGATTGATAATACATTTTTTTTGTAAAATAGTTAAAATATTTAAGAAAAAGGATATTTGCATAGTTTACCTCCATCAAAACGAATAAAGCGGCAAAGAACAACAACGTAGACCATTCAACTCGGTGCAATATCGGCTCGAGGTCCTCTCTATCCGCCAACGTTAGAAGCAGGATAGCTCCCAACAGAGCTGTCCATCCGAGTGATACACGATCTGAAAAATATTATTTAACTTCTAAGTACAATTATTTTTCGGATATTTTCACATATTTATTATATGTTTTTGTTCCTAACGTGTTGATGGTTTTACACTAAACATGGCAACGGGTGAGTTTCATTTAAAATATCAAATATTCGAAAGAAAGTGTTATTTAAGTACTTTTTACAAGTGGCTGCGTTCATGTACAAATAAAAAATACAAACTCACAGATTTTCGAATTTGTGAGAAGTTAAAATATATTTCATTTTTCAATTATTTTAATTTGAAATGAATCAAAAATTGATTGAATCAATCGATTGATATAAAAATTAGCGATTTTTTTTAAATCATCTAAACTATCTTAACAAATTTTTACTCATTTTAAATTAATTAAGTGTTATTATTTGAGATTACAGATTTACAAGATTATATATTATTTAAATTAAATAAATATTAATATTAAATGAATTAGAACAAGAAAATGATTACCAGATACTTACTTAATTCAGGTATAGAGTGAAGAAAGAACACTGTGACGACGAATGCTATTGCCACTGTTGATTTAATTAATAACATCTTGTCCCTTATTTTATACTAAAAACGTTGAAAATATACATTTATATTATATTTCTCTATTGTCTATACTAATATTATAAAGAAGTAAAGTTTGTGAGTTTGTGACGTTGTAGGGGGTAATCTTTGGATCTACTGAACCGATTTAGGTGAAATTTGGTACAAAGATAGTTTAAGACCCTGGAAAGGACATAGGATATTTTTTATCCCGGAAACATCCCTTAAGGGGGTGAAAATGGGGATGAAAGTTTGTATTGGGAAGCAAGCTAAGGACGAACCCGAGCGAAGCGAGGGTGAGTCATTAGTTACTGATATAAAGATTTATCAGAGTTACATAATAATACTATTAAGCAATAGGCAGAAATTCTATCTTACTAAATCTGATAGTTTTGTTACTACCCTATCTTGTCTAGTGGCTAGCGTGCATTGCTGTATCCATAAGTGTAAGTATCCTGGGTTAATGGGGTATGGGGTATAATTGTAAGACTGCTGGTAGACCTTAATATATGAAAAAATCTATGTCTTATGATACCCAATCGTTATTTATAAATTGTAATACTAACCTTATTTTTCAGTTCGACCAAAGTACTTCTAAAAGTATCCTTTGGACAAGCTCGTTTGCTGCTTTCCTTAATCATTTTTTCCAATTTAAGTGTTAATTTAGCTATTTTTCTTTCCAGTCTTTCTCTTACAATGTTTACTCCTTTACTTAGATGTGGTAATGAATCGGCAGCTCGCCGCCATATTGATATTTGATGACGAAGATCTAAAATAATTGTTATAAATAATTTTTTGGGTATAAATTAATGATCTGTGGAGATTGTAAAAAATATATGTAATTTAAAAAAAAATGGCTGTGTAAGATCCAATCTAACTCTATTCAAATTGCTTCAAAATGCCATAGGGATAGGAATAGATGAATCTTGCTATAGGATTGGAAAATCTTTTGCGATAAAATTCACCGTATTTTTACGTAATTTAAATTGAAATATATATATATATATATATATATATATATATATATATATATATATATATATATATATATATATATATATATATATATATATATATATATTTAGAATATATGTATGTAATAAATTTTACAAAGATTTAATATAATTGTAAAATGCAAAAAAAATATACCTTGTATATCTCGAGGAACTCTCTGTCGTAGTTTACTTGTGTCTCTATACATAAATCTGATTTGCAATGTCGTCTGTATAACCACTACTAGAATACCCAGCGACATGTGTGCTGTGAAGTTTGTGAAATTAATACCCTGAAAGTAAAAGTAAGAATATCATAATAAATATAAAACAAAATAAACGCGTGTATGTACTTATGTACGCACGTAAGAAGTTATACTTCTTTGGCGTAACAGAACAAAAATAGCTAAAGATTTCATCCCGTATGTCACAACTCTCTGTTTGTAAAAGGAATGCAGCTAACTTCATCATGTCGCTTTTTGGCTGTCGGTGTGCGCGCGCATCGTAAAAATTTTACACTCATATTGTTTTCCAAGCGTGCCAAAAGAAGTATAACTTCAAAAGGTAATGTAAAAAAAGTCATTTAATATAACTAAGGCAGTGGTAGCCCAGTGGTAACGCGCTCGCTTGAGAAACTGAGTGAAACGGGTTCAAATGTCGGGTTTCGCACTTCTGATATTTACAAGTGCGAATTATTCAAACATGAGGAAACCAGCATGCCTGAGAGAACTTAGCAAGTTCCCGAAAGACGTGCTCAAACCGCTCGCACTTGGACAACGAAATGAACTATGTAATATTGAAGTATTGAAGGGAGGTCCACTACCAGCAGTGGGACGTTAAAAATGCTAAATTCAATACAAGTAACTTTATACATATAATAAAATTGTAACTAAGCCGAATCTGTACATTTAATATTTTTTGGAAAATCTTATTGAAATAGACGTTATAATCGATACAGAGGCCGAATCTATAGTTTTTAGATTTTTTGTCTGTCGGTCTGTCTGTTACCGCATCACAGAAAAACCATTGGAGGGATTTTGATGAAATTTGTTATCGTGATAGCTGGTTATCCGGGTCAACATATAGGATCCTTTTTACCGCGGGAAAATATGTCATTTCTGAGAAAAAATACAAAAACTGCATTGTAAGAGTATACTAATATATAAAACCTAAGAATTTGCTTTTTGATCATCTGAACGCGGGCGGAGCCGCGGGCAATGTTAGTGAAATATAAAATTAAAAGCTAGACCTTACAGCTTGTATAACAGCTTTGTTAGAAGCTACAATGACATTAGGCGGGTCACCAACAGGGGTCGCTGTACCGCCGACGTTGCTGTATATAGCCATAAACATTAATATTGGCACGGGATCTAGATCCATCACCTCACATAATCTGAAATTATTAATTGAAAAAAATTTAGAATTCACCTCATAATTCTAAATTGTTAAATTGTATTAAATTTTACGTAAAATATTGATTTATAGATTTAATATAATAATCTATACTAATATTATAAAGAGGTAAAGTTTGTGAGTTTGTGAGATTGTGAGTTTGTGACGTTGTAGGGGTAATCTCTGGATCTACTGGACCGATGTAGATGAAATTTGGTAAAAAGATAGTTTGAAACCCTACGAAGGACATAGGATACTTTATATCCCGAAAATCATACCTTAAGGGGGTAAAAATGGGATGAAAGTTTGTATGGAGAATCAAGTCTGAGTCAAGAATGAGTCGCTAGTATATGTATATCATCATCAGTATTTTTTTTAAAAACAATGACTGTAATGTATTGTGTACAGAATATAGACCTCAAAACAATAGTTATTAAAATGTTTGTCTGTTTGTTTGTGCACGTTTTCTCGCACAAATCACTAAACCGATTTTAACTAAATTGTGTGTAGTGATAACATCCTTAGAGATTTACATGGCTAATACTGGCTAAACATGTTAGGTTTAACAAGGTTTAAGTTAAAAACGCTTACAATAAATTCCGCCTTATCAAGCATGAGTCTATCTTCTAAGATATACTCGCTATAACTATGTATATTTAAAAAACATTTAGGGACTCACCCGGGTGAAGCGAAGGTAAGCCGCTAGTATCATGATATAAATGGTGCAATGCAATAAATTGATGGGTTTGATTTAATTTAAAGTTTATTTTCTTCTTTTTAAACCCCAACGCAAAAAGAGGGGTATATATATTATATCAAACTATATATATATATATATATATATATATATATATATATATATATATATATGGTTTGACGTCGATGTCTGTCTGTGATATCGTGAGTTTCAAACGGATGGACCGATTTCGATGCGGTTGTTTTCATTTGAAAGCCGGTTTCCTTTCGGTGGTTCTTATATATATATATATATATATATATATATATATATATATATATATATATATATAACGTATATATATTGTATAAAAATATAAATATACACACACACAGTTGATAAAAACTTTTACATAACAGGTTTAATCTACAACGTTGGTATCACGTGTGTCACAAAACAATTCATTGTATATGTATCGTGTTATATTTTAAAATTATTTTTTAAACACACGAATTAATATTAATCTAAAGTATTTTTTTCAAGCACACACATTTATTTATTTTTTGTTATATTTAATTATACTTTTTTCGTACCAATAGAAATTATCGCTAATAGAATCCATGTAGGTACATATATAAAATCTTGCAGATTTAAATTATTACACTTTTTTTAAATTGTATTATTAGTTATTACATATTGAAGACACGTTTGGCTCAGTATGTATAGAATTTATTTATTTATTTTATAGTGACCCTACTTGCTGTGCCAGCGGTCGCGGGTTCTAGTCCTGCTGGGGGCATCCATTTGTATGATGAGCACGAATGTTTGTACTCCAGTCATCAGTCATGGATGTTTATATTTTTAAGATGTACATATTTAAAGTTTTATATGTGTAGTGTATCAACTGTCTGGTATCCATAACACAAGTCTCGTAGCTTACCATGGAACTAGATGGCGCTGTGTGTTAATGTCCAACATATTTACATAATATAGTAATAGTGTAAAATTGCTACGAAACTTAAAAATCAATTGGTTGATAGATTGATTTATTATTTACCTGATAGTGACGGGAGACATTAAGAGAACAGTTGTCACGTTGTCGAGAAATGTTGAGAGAACTGCTGTTATAATACATAGTAAGTAAATCAAAGGCCAAAGCCTTCCTTTGGTTACCTAAAGAAAAATATGTATATATTAAAATTACTTAAGATTCTATATAAGTATTAGTAAGAAAACAAAAAAATAAACAACTTTTGAAGTAAAACTTCTTTAGAATCGTTGTTTCTTTAGTATTGTTGTTCTTTAGAATTGTTGTTTGAATTCTCGGGGCCCCTTGCGTTAACCCTTTTAAAATACATTTTTTCTATTACAAAAGTCGAGTCGATCAGATCGACTCCTTTGGTATCCTGTTATCAATCTCTTATGTGATACTAGCGGCTCACCGTCGCTTCGCTCGGGTACGCCTCTAGAAAAACAATACAAATCTATCCTTCGGGAACCGTATATGTTTCCGGGCTAAAAAGTAGCCTATGTAATAAAAATGTATGTATTCCAGGCTATAATCTATCGTGCCTTTCATCCAGATCCGTTCAGCCGGTTTGACGTGAACGAGTAACAAACATCCGTACATCCATACTCACAAACATTCACATTTATAATATTAGTATAGATTGCAACAACATGGTTACCTTCACTTGATGCTACAATAAAATACAATACACGAAAAAAAATAGTTTTAACCCTTTTAGATACAAAATCGTTTAAAACATCTTGAAAGTGGACCTTTTCCAATATATCCTCTAACGAATCGCGGATTCTCCGCCCAACGTGAATAAAGTTTAGTATATTTGAATTTTAAAATTAGAATATTTGACATTTCAAATAAAACTATCTTTTCGGAGTATTTTGCGGATTTATTTTGATTCTTGGTTCCCGATGTTTCGAATGCTTTACAGCAATCATGGCCACGGAAAGACTAAGGCTTTAGATATTCAAATTATATATTATAATACAACTCAAAAAATATTTTGATATGATCAGAATTACTTGAAACTTGGCATTAATGCTCTTCAATAAAATTAAATAAATACTAAAATATGTCAGCATTTTCTACTTTTTTAGAGGTTTTTTTTTGTAGTTGTAACGCAAACGAAACCGCGGCTTCTGCTAGTATTCGTATAAATATAAGAAAGTATTAGTATATACGTACTTCAAAAGTAAACACTGCTAAATAATCGAATAGTCCTGTCTCCGCCATTATAGAGACGAGGATCATCATGCTGAAGAGTAAGAGGAGCGTTTCCACATCCAACCAACTTATCAGCTCCATGAGGGTTGGTCTCTCACCAACTAAAGCCAGAGCAGCTAAAGAGCTTGTCGATACTGTTATTGCTGCCATTGTTCTGTTTATAACCTTTAAAAAAATGTAATTTCAGAATGTGTATAACTAATATTTATACATAATATAATAAAATTCTAACTGAGTCGAATCTGTACATTAAATATTTTTAGGAAAATCTTATTGCAATAGTCATTATTATCGATACAAGGGACGAATCTTTAATTTTTGTCTATCGGTCTGTCTGAGAACACATCACGAGAAACCCACTGAACAGATTTTGATGAAATTTGGTATGATGATAGCTATTTATATGTGTCAACATATAGGATACTTTACTGCGGGAAAATATCTCATCTTTAAGAAATCTATACTAAATGTTGAAACGTAACTAGGGACGAATTAATCGCTACTTATAAATAAGAAAGTGATAATAAAGTAGTAAAAAGACAGACAACATATGAATTTAAGAGCTTTTTAACCTACGGGTGTGAAGCTAAACTTGAATTTCAATCAGTTAAGCCAATATACCATGATTTTTTCAAGTTGTGCTTTTCCAATTCCATATAAAACCTGAGTAATGATTTACGATGATGAGGTATCGTCGTTACGAAGAAATAAAAAAATAAAAGTAACACGTTATTAGCAATATTAAAAAAAACTAAACATACCTCAAAAATGATCAACACATACAATCCACAAAGTAAAATCACAGCATATATCACACCAGTGGCGACATCTAGCGGGTCTTTCGTGAAACTTATAGTGAATGGTACAATTTGCTTCTCATTTGTGCGCATGCGCACAGTATAATTTAAATTTTGTTCAACAAAGAATGTTTTGATACGAAGCTCCCCTTCATAGAAGTCTAAATTTGGTTGTAGTGTTATTTCCCACAGTTTTGATACCTTAACAAAAATGAAAATAGAAATGGATATTCACTAAATACTTATATAAAAATTAAAAATTCTTCAATTCTCTTGTCAATGCCTTCAAAGCGTGCCAATTGAGCACAGATAACGCCAACGTCACGTGGAACACGTGACGTTGGCGTAACGTGGCGTACACACGTGGCGTTTTTTTCTCTATTCTTGGAGAAAAAAAATATGTTTTAATTTTTGTTTATAATAATTCTATATATGTATTTTTTTAAGTGTAGAGATATTTCAATATTACTGTTACCATAAATTTGATTTAATTATCTTTTTTAAATTAAAATCCTCGACTACATTATGTTAGTATACCTGCTTGTTTCTACTTACCTCATCAACTGTAGTATTGTCGTGGAAACTCTCCATCCAAACATATAACTTCGAAGAGTTTAAGCTAATATTAGAATCAAGGTTGTTTTCTGATTGTTCTGTCAGAAATGGTCCTAAAAGTTTCACTTCAACAGATGTGCTTTTTGTTGTGTCGACAGGAAAACCTACAATTTTGTTAAAACCTTTAGTAACATAAAAAATATACAGATTCTAAGGCCTAAGCTTTTTTTATTGTATTTAAAATCTAAACACGTTAAAAATTCCTTCAAGCAGGATACGAATTTCACAAACGACGATACAAATTTCAATAAACTAAACTCATTTAACAAAAACAACAGTATTACATAATCATAATAATATTACTATATAAAAGTAATTCAAATACTGTGAGATCGCGTGTGTGTGTACTCACTTACTTTTCTCCACACTTTGACTGACGGCTGAGTTTTTGAATAACTCCTTTTTCTCGTTATACATTAAGAACACTGCTGTGAAAAACACCCAACAGCCAAGAAGTATTGTCATTTTAGTGTAGTACTTAGCTTTTTTTAACTGAAATTATTTTTAATAAATAAGTGTTTTTTTTTAAACATAGCATGAAAATAGTAGTAAGAACCAATTACACCGTAGGTAGCAAGTTCAATTTTGACTAGGCACATCTTTTGTTTCATTTTATTAAAGCTTATCTGCAATACCAGCTGTACTACGCCTGATTGGTAAAAAAAATTCAGGGCCTCTGGTATTTACTAACCAAAAGAAACGTGTGTAATGACTATTTCATGTCGATATTCAGTAAGAAGGTGATTTCTAGGTAAAATAAATTATTTAAGCTAAAATTACGACACAGCTCTATTCAGATGTTAAAATATGAAAAAATTGAGAAGAATGATGAGATAAAGAAAGATATTAAATAGATAGGTACGAGTACTTATTACTTATTAGCAATTAAATCTATCGTTTTTAAAAAATTACGGGATTCGCACATAATTTTTGGTATAGAAAAGTTCTTGAATTTTTAAAAGGAAATTTTTATTTTATACCCTGCCCTATATAGGATTTGAACCAAAAATCTTACCTGCGGATGCTTGTCTTCTTTTATATGAGGTGAACCATGTACCCTAAAATTAAATAATCTGATTTATAAAATCAATTTGATTAAATTTATTAGTATTACATATTGGAATATGATGATGACCTGACCGATTCCGGCCACGGCGGAAAATCTCATTGAGACTAGCCAACTGCGCAGGAGATATTATAGTGCACAAGTATACGCGCAGACACAACGTGCACTCTCTATTCCTGTCACTCTCATACTCCGGTGGGACGACCACTCGACACGACCAGTGAGAGTTATGGCGCAGGACCGACGGCTTTACGTGCTCTCCGAGGCACGGGGGCGAAACACCTCCAACTTCCCAACTCCGGGCTGTTACTGAGTCTTACTATACAGAAAGACACAATAACTAAACTTGGCCCGACCCGGGACTCGAACCCAGGACCTCCGGTTGTGCAGCCGTACATGATAGCCACTACACCACCGAGGCAGTTATAAATATATAATATATTATTAAATATATAATATATTGGACTATATTATGAATACGAAAGTGTGTATGATTGTGCTAAATGGTTAAACAGATTTTGATGAAATTTAATAAACAGATAGACTGTGACTTGGAATAATACATAGCTACTTAATGTCTGGCACCCAGGGTGCACTTAAGTGAAGCAAGGATTATACATAAGTAAATGGATATAGATAAGTAAATGCATTATACATAAGTAAATGGAGATAGGATACATAAGTAAATGTAAGGAAATCATTTTTTTTATTTGAATCCTATGTTTTTTAAATTATTTTTGTAAGCCAAGTACTCTTAAATAACTTCCCACTACATTAAGTCAAGTAAGTTCAAAAGTACAGATAGATTCATATCTTAGTTCAATGCGCTCTCATTCACTAGTAAAATAAAGCGTCATATAAATGGAAGAACATGCGTGAGAAATCACTAACACTATTCTCTAAGAACCTTCTGGTAACTCGACAGTTGAATACTCATTACTCTTACTTGCATACTCCTTAGAGTTGTATGAAGGTCTTAGTTCTTACAGAATAGTTCTATATAGCATTCAGAATAACAAAAACATAGTATACTAGCATTGCCCGCGGCTCCGCCCACGTTTAGATGACCAAATACCAAATTCTTAGGTTTTACATATTAGTATACTCTTACATTGCAGTTTTTGTTTTTTTTCTCAGAAATGAGACATTTTCCGGCGGTAAAAAGTATCCTTTATGTTTACCCGGATAACCAACTATCACCATACAAAATTTCATAAAAATCCCTTCAGTGGTTTTTCTGTGATGCGGTAACAGACAGACAGACAGACAAAAATTCTAAAAACTATAGATTCGGCCTCTGTATCGATAATAATGTTTATTTCAATAAGATTTTCCAAAAAATATTCAATGTACAGATTCGGCTTAGTTACAATTTTATTATACGTATAGAATAGGATTAAACTGCTCAATCTAAAGTTACTTACGATCTTTCATCACCTTCAATGCCTTCATCAACAACTTTATCAGTAAACGATACATCATCAATGTATCGCACATCATCAGCTTTCCTGATGTCAGGTTCGGAATGTGCCACTTCTCTTGTTTTGTACTGTACACCATTTTTTGAGTTGTTTTCTGAAAAAACAACCAGATTTAGCTTTTAGAGACCGTGTTGGTTGTCTCTTATAGTATGGACTTAAATTCCTTATCTTTTGCATATTTTAAAATTTTAATTGTAATTTAAGATGTATTTATTATTCATTAAGAAGGGTAGGTCAAAAGCTACTGGTAGCTCAGTGGTAAACACACTTTCTTCAGAAACCAAGTGAAGCGGGTTAAAAGCCCAGGTCTAGCACCTCTGATATTCTTATGTGCTAATCATTTTCAAAATGATTTCCATTTGCCTTCCGGTGAAGGAAAATATTGTAAGAAAAAAACGGTCGTGAGAAATGGAGATGCACAACGGATTTCGTGTATAGCCTAAGAAGGCCTGTATGAAGTGCGTGCGAGAAGAGTGTGAGTTGTGAAGGGGGGTGTAGCGGGGTTCGGGTATGGGGTTGCGTGTGTGAGTGTGTGTGTGTGTGGGGGGGGGGTGTTGTAGGGTAGTTGGGGGGGGGCGGTTTGTTTGAGGTAACTTAGCAAGTTTGAATATAGAATAAAGAAAAGATATGTGAATTGACCAACCCACACTTAGGCAGCGTGGTCGACTATGACCCGATCCTCCTTATATCTCCTTATATATGAAGGGAGGCCGGTGCCCAGCAGTTGGTCAATAAAAAGGACCGAATATACCATACAAGAAGTTAGGTCACAAGTCATAGATTTTATTATTATTATTACATTTTATTTTGAGTGTTTCCGAGGTCGGCCCTAGCTACGTCGACCAGTTATGATCCATTGTAGCTCCCTTTATAGTGAATTTAAAGTTCTCCGTTTAGTCCTGTAACCTGTTGCCTCCAGGAACTTTCTCATCCAGGAAGTCATAGATACTCCTAACGAGTTTAAATTGGAAAAAGAAAAAGAGATATCAAAAACTAAATTTAAAACTAATCATTTCCATAAAATTTTATTTCTAAAAATTTATGTTATTATTTTTAAAGCTTCTCTGAGGTATCAAACGAATTTGCCATCAAGACAAAAAATTTACTATTTTTAAGGATATTTGCAATATTAATTCTAATGAGAACGGTAAATACATACAAGTATGTCGTTAGCTCTAGTATATTTGTTCTGATGTCATTTCTCACACCATATTTAGGCGAATTTGATAAATATATGAGCATCAAAAATTTGGTCACTCCATACTTGATCAAAGTGATTTTTACATCCTTCTAGGACATTTTTGTAAACTTACTTAGGGTGTTATATATATATTATATATATATATATATATATATATATATATATATATATATATATATATATAACACTTTCCGCCCGTGTATCTTATTTATTTGCTTCGATTCTGAGGGTTGTAGCGAGACGTTAGATCGAGATCTCCAGTCCTGATATATAAAAAGGAATTTTCAAAACACACTTGTTCAGAGCAAAGTTCCTTCAAACAACCAAATAAGACACTCTTCGGCTTTTTGCATCAGTATTTATGAGAAATATTTAAAAAAAAAGTTTCTTACATTTAAAACTGTGGCAAGTGCGAGTGTGATTCGTGCACCGACAGTTTCGTACAACAAAATACTAAAATTGTGTTGTTTTTATACTTACATATTTTGTAAAGTTTCAATACTAAAATACTTTAAATTATACTTTAAATGTAATCACGTTACACATTTCATCAACCGGAAATAAAAATTCGTATGTCGATAACTGAAAATACCCTAAGCTTTTTAAGCAATATAATAATATAACTCATAGGTACTAATAAAAACCCAAATATAAAAGCATCTCACCTTAGGAAGTCCAGAACTCAAAATTCATCACAGTATCAAAGTCTGTAAAAAAAAATTTACAGACTAGCTATTAACTTACCAATTTCTTCCAACTTTTTTCTAATTTGTTCCATAGATGGATCTCGTTTTACTTCATCGGGTAACTCCATCCATGACTGCAAGGTATCTGCAGTGAGATCTCCACAAGACACAAGGGAATAAGTACTTCTGTTCAGGACCTGGTTAGAATCGTTCTTTTTGTGGAACATGCGGAATATTTTGTCCATTATTTAAATCATGGGGTTTCTGAAAAAAATATGGTAATTTATTTTAATAATGGGAGTCGATGGATCAAAAAAATTCTCTCTATCTCTAATATTGAAAGAAATATGTGATTTTTATATATAATATGTAATTTAATGTATGTGATTTAATATGTATATTAGATACCAGCATTGCCCGCGGCTCCGCCCGCGTTCAGATGACCAAAAACTAAATTCTCAGGTTTTACATATTAGTATACTCTTACATTTCAGTTTTTGTGTTTTTTCTCAAAAATGAGATATTTTCCTGCGGTAAAAAGTATCGTATATGTTAACTCGGATAACCAGCTATCACCATATTAAATTTCATCAAAATCCCTCCAGTGGTTTTTCTGTGATGAGGTAACAGACAGACAAATATTCTAAAAACTATAGATTCGGCCTCTGTATAGATAATAATGTTTATTTCAATAAGATTTTCCAAAAAATATTTAATGTGCAGATTCGGTTTGGTTACAATTTTATTATATGTATAGATTTCAGGCATGACCAAGTACTTAGATTATTTATCGACTGTATTGAAATATATAGTATTGAGAGCGTTTATGTGAGCAATTTTTGTTTACTGACGATATTTGCAAATTAAATTTATTTAAAATCACCGAATAGTGAGTTACGATCTTTTTATTTTAAACGGTCAAAATATACTTAATAGAAATAAATTAAAAGCATCGAAACGAAACTTAAAAAAGTTTTAAAGTTTACGGAAAATAATGAAAAAAATATTGATTTTACCTTTTAATCAACACAAGATGACTTGTTGTTAGTTAATTAACAACGAGAATAATGCAACGGTGTTACATATGTTGTGCATTAAATGTACAGACAAAGGTGTTATGGTCATAATTATTAATACAAGCTTTTGCACACGGTTTTATGTCACATTTAATGAAATTGTAGGCAGCGCTGGAATCAAACTAGGGGCACTCGAGGCTAGTGCCCAGGGCGGCAAATTTTTAGTTGCGGCAAAATTCGGAGTGCGGGAAAAAATTCCTTCGCGTTATCGAAAATACTTTTTTTATATTCGAAAAAATTAAAAATTAAAAAAAAAACTAACTAGTAGGTACATTTTTCGAGAAATTGATATAATTTTTCTACAAAAACTTGCTAGGTTCTCTCAGACATGCAGGTTTCCTCGCGATGTCGTTCTTCACCGTAAGACAAGTGGTAATTATGTTGAAAAATAATTCGATAATTTGAACATGAAAATATAAGAGGTGCGACACCCACTTCCATTGGTTTCACAAGGGAGTGCGAACTACCACTAGGCTACCACTGCCTTCTTTAATGAAATCATTGTTCTAAAATTGTATTTAATGTAACTGTATCTTACGATTCGAACGTAGTACCTTTACCTGATTTTTATACAACTTAAAAAAAACTAAATTTTGTATAAATTATACCTTGTGGTCGGTGCCATATAAATGTTATGAAAAATCCACTAAGTGTTAGGGAAAATTTATAATTTGTTTTTCAACACTTCATGGGATTTACGTGAACATTTCACATTTGTAATAAAACTATTTTTCTAGATTCTTTCGCGATTTAATGAATCAAAAAGTAAAGTAAAACAGCGAAAATATCCAAAAAATAAATGAATAGGTTTATTTAAATTTATTTTAAGAAGGGACTGTCTGGTAGACAGATAACCTATGGGAGAGGGGAGTCTAGGGCTTCATTTCTCTATCTCTTCTTGCGTTTTCCATTATGATTTAGTCTTAGCTATTAAACTATGTTTAGTGTAAAGCATTAGAAATGCCGGGAACTGATGAAAATTTAAATAAAACTTTATTTTAATTAAAGCCTAAAGTTCTAATATATGGACAAATTTTAAAAAATATTATAGTGAGGAAATATCTAAAGCTGTGATGTTTGACGCACAAACATGATGATGTTCTCCTGACCGATTCCGGCCACGGCGGCCAATCTCATTGAGACTAGCCAACTGCGCAGGAGATATTATAGTGCACAAGTGTACGCGCAGACACAAATGCACTCTCTATTCCTGTCACTCTCATACTCCGGTGGGACGACTACTCGACACGACCAGTGAAAGTTAAGGCGCAGGACCGACGGCTTTACGTGCTCTCCGAGGCACGGGGGTGAAACACCGCCAACTTTCCAACTCCGGGCTGTTACTGAGACTTAATATACAGAAAGACTCAATAACTAAACTTGGCCCGACCCGGGTCTCGAACCCAGGACCTCCGGTGTGCAGCCGTACATGCTAGCCACTACACCACCGAGGCAGTTATGCACAAACATACCTACATTTTGCCCGTGGGGAGACGGGCTTAGAATACATTTCTCCCCCGCCGCTGGGAAAGCGTCTCGTAAAAGGCGAGTAACCCATGCTAGTATGGTGGTAGAGGGCACCGCTCTCGACTGGCTCGCGACCACTATCATGTCGTATTCGATTGCCAAATGTCCTCGGACGTGTTCCAGTCGTAGACATGTAAGCCAGCCCCCCTTTCCCGAATTCTGTTGATCTCGGCGACCTCAGGACCGGTATTTTGGTGAAGTTCGTCCCTTCTATTCAGGCGTGTTATGTTGGCATGGGGTCCAGGGAGACCCGATGAAACGGTGTACCGCTGGCCACCCGTTGGTTCGTAGGGGACCCGAACCCAAACTTATCCCGGTTTGGGAGGCTGTCCCGCCACCAATGTTAAAAGCCCGTGCGTTGATCGCAGTGCCGGAGTGGGAGACCGGTGTGGAACACGGCGATCAGTGTCGGGTTGGATCGGGGGCCCTTCCGTCCCCCATGCCAGCAAGACACACAGCCTGGGTGGTCTGGATAGACACAAACCTAAATGCTACATTTGTCCTGGGGGCGCCGAAATCTTAGAATTCCTCATTCTTCTCCTTTTTAGACACTCTCATGGTTGCAACAAAAGTAAGAAACGTTTGCACAGCGGCCACCCCTTCCACGTTTAACGTGGACGTCTGCAATATAAGGGGACTACATTCTAACCTCATTGCTGTCCATCACCATCTTGAGACAGCTAAGCCGGCCTTACTTTTTTTTAACGGAGACGCAGATATCCTCTCCTGTCGATACATCATATTTAAAATATCCCGGTTACAGCTTGGAGCATGTCTTTCTGCCTAAAGCAGGGGTTTGTATGTTCGTCAGGGAAGATATCTGCTGTCGCCGTCTGAGCAAACCTTGAAGACAAGGACCTGTCAATTTTATGGTCACGAATAGAATATGGGGGATATACCCGAATCTATGCGTGTATCTACAGGTCCCATAGTGGGAACGCTGAAATAGACCGACTCTTTAGACACGTCCAAGAAGCGACAGATTTCCTGCTCCAGCGTTATCCTTGCGCGGAGGTTGTGATCCTCGGGGATTTTAATGCCCACCACGTTGACTGGTTAGGATCTCGGACCACAGACTACGCAGGGAGAATTGCCTTTAATTTTGCGCTGACTTATGGCTTCTCACAGTTGGTACCTGAACCCACCAGAGTACCGGATGTCGAAGGCCATGCGCCGTCTCTGCTTGATCTTCTCCTGACCACGTGCCCAGATAACTACCAGGTGTGCGTCGACGCCCCCCTGGGTTCTTCTGACCACTGTCTGGTACGTTCGAAGGTGTCGATATCCACCTACTGCCGCCCAAGCGGGACGCGGCGAGTATGGCACTATAAATCAGCTGATTGGGATGGTTTGCGCGAATTTTTCGCATCCTACCCATGGAAGCGCATCTGCTTTTCATCGGATGATCCCTCGTATTGCGCGGATACCGTTGCGGATACGATTTTACAGGGAATGGAATGCTTCATTCCCAGTTCGACCGTCCGTATCGGCGGTCAATCGCAACCTTGGTACGATGCATCCTGTGCTAGAGCATCTAGCGAGAAGCAGGAATCCTATCGAGCCTGGGTTGCTGCCCGCATAGCGAAGGATCCTAACGTCACCGATCTCAAAAAGAAATTTAATGCTGCTTCTAGATCGTGCAAGACACTAATGGCCAGGGCAAGAGACGATCATATTCGCAGCATTGGCAAGAGACTTCTAAGCCTTCCATCTGGATCGCGTGCTTTTTGGGCTCTCGCCAAAGCTGCGGAAGGAAATTTCTGTCGACCATCCATACCAACTCTGTGCAAACCGGATAGCACGCTGGCACATTCTGCAAAAGACAAAGCAGATCTCCTGTGCTCTTTTTTTGCCTCAAATTCTACTCTTGACGACGGGGGATTATCGCCGCCTACCATCTCGCAGTGTGATAGCATGATGCCCGAAGTACGCTTCACGCAACGTGAAGTGCGTCGAGCACTTATCTCCCTAGACGTCAAGAAGTCCAGCGGGCCAGATGGTATTCCGGCCATTGTACTTAAAACTTGTGCCCCAGAGTTGACACCGGTCTTAACCCGCCTGTTCTCTCAACTCTACGCCGTTAGCCAAGTCCCGTCTTCTTGGAAGGTTGCCATTGTTCACCCTATTCCCAAAAAGGGTGACCGCACAGACCCGTCCAATTACCGGCCCATTGCGATAACCTCTATACTCTCTAAGGTGATGGAGCGCGTGATTAATACTAGGCTCCTAGCATACCTAGAAGAGAACCAGCTCATTAACGACCGACAATACGGATTTCGACAGGGTCGTAGTACTGGTGATCTTCTAGCGTATCTAACTCACCGTTGGGCAGCTGCCATTAAGAGTAAGGGGGAGGCGTTAGCACTTAGCCTTGATATTGCAAAGGCCTTCGATCGGGTCTGGCATAAGGCACTTCTATCGAAGCTGCCATCATATGGACTTCCCGAGAGATTATGCCAATGGGTCGCTAGCTTTCTTTCTGGACGTAGCATAAAAGTTGTCATTGACGGTATATGCTCCGACACTGTTCAGATCAACGCTGGCGTACCCCAAGGCTCAGTGCTATCGCCTACACTGTTTATTCTGCATATCAATGATATGTTGTTAACTAACAACGCTCATTGCTATGCAGATGACAGTAC